AACAATAATAATATTATATAATATTTATAATATCGTTAATAATAATTATAACTTGGACAAGGCTACACGTTACAAATTATACCCATATGTAACAAGTGTCAGTCACCATAAACGCAACTTGTTATACAAGAGATGACACGGAGTATTTTTCATCATTCCCTTTTTTCAACATAAGTTGTCGAGTTCCATAAATACTCTCTCGAGGGAGCAACCTTACAAGCGGAACTACATAAATTTGATTACATTATTTTATACAATCAATTGTTAGTTATTTTTTCTCTTGCAATTTTTGTCTTACACTTTTGCACAGCGCAGCAGGCAAAGAGCACACCAAAAAATTATTTTTTCTTTAAATTTTATGACAATTAATAATAGCGCATATAAACCTCACTCTCTCAGCTCAACTGATCATTGTGCAAATGATTAAGCTTCGTAAAGAACCGAATTCATTATTCAATTATTCATAGTATGTTCTAAACTATAATCGTTTATTCTTTTATCTACAAATTTGTAATTTGATCGTTACGTGGTACGATTGATTGAAAAGTCATTCTGCTTGTTACTCATGCACTCAGATTTTTGGTTCGCTTTTACCTTGTAAACTACTATTATCCCAACAATCAGAAAAAATCTAAGCGTTTAAGACGTCCGTAACTATCGGCCGCCATTTATTCGCCGTTACTTTTCTGTCATACCTCTCGGTTATGTATCTATTTAAAAAAAATTGTTTTTTAGTTTCAGCAAATAGATATCATGACCCATACGAGCTACAACGGCGTTATCTTTTTTTTTTCATCTCTCTCTCTCTCTAATACATGTCCGAGTGATCTGTGTATGTATACATACACACATGTACAACTTAATTTACATGTGTATATGTATTCCGGAAATCATTAAAATAGAAAAAGTCATAATTGCGAATGATCGTGATGCTGTTGGGAGGGGCTGGATTGGGCTGATCTTACACGGTTCCGTACTGAGGCGGTGTGGGTACTCACATGCCATACGCTTGGTAGGTCGTGGGCACAGTTTGCGCTGCGTATACGCTTTGTGCTGGCGCTCCGTACACAGCCTGTGGCGCATAGCCTGGTGCCATCATCGTACCTGGTCCAGCTGTCAGCATTAGCTGCGGCTCGGCTGTGAATTTAAAAACATGAATTAGTTTTTTTTTAGTATATAAAATCTTCCGTAAAGGCAGAAAAAGTTATCAAATTACGCATTATCATGGATTTATGCTCTTGGTGATCAGTCTCCTCAAGGCGTCGGCTTTCGGCTTCTTCTAATTTATCGACCTGAAAATTTTATATTAGAATTTTTTTTTTTTTCCAATAGATACTATCGGTTTCATTGGTCATTACAAGATATGCAAAATATTTTTACCTTTGATATATATTCACGAGATACTTGGATGAGATAAGGCATTGCAAAGTGCATAATTTTGTGTCTCCACGCGAGTTCTAAAATGACATCAGGATGGAGCAAGTCGTAGCAATGAAACAGGCAAGCAGCAAAACAGTCCCTGGACCCTCTCTCTAAGAACCACTCCAAAAGTTCTTCCGCTACTTCAGCATTACGAGATTCAGCTGCATACTCCATTGCATCCCTAGGTAAATGAAGAAAAATAAAACATCACACCAACGAAAACATACAGTATAGAAAAATAAAATTAATATTTTAGTATCTGTATGAATTAGTAAGGTTTGTAGTATTCCTCCACTCAGAATTAATCGAGACGAAGATAAGACATGTCAGCATGCTATTCGTTTCCAATTGAACCTCTGCCAGACACAAAGCCAAACTAAGCGTTTTTACCGACCTGAAGAGCCTATCCTTTTTACAAAGCTCGACCGACTGCTTCCACCTGTTGTTGCCTTTATATAGATAAGCAGCGATTCTCCTGAACTCGATGAGCTCGTGCTTCTCCAACTGTTGTGCCAGCACAATGTTGTCGAAGTTGTCAAAGGCGTCAATCGAGGTCCTCAGGCCCTGGTAGTCCTCCTCATCGATCAGCAAACCGTTGAGGGCCTCGTTGATTGCTTTGTTATTCAGTGCCTGTACCGATCTGAGGTAGGGCTTGACAAGTTGTAGGTGGTTGGTGCGAGTAAAATAGGCTACGGATCTTGTGTGGTCCATACGTGGCGCTAGCACAAGCAGAATGTCGTTGAGTAACAGGGGCTTGTATTCTACATAAAATTGAATGGCCTTGTAATATAACTCGACGTTTGCCACTTTAGTGATGACATCTTTAAAGTGACCCTCGCGCCATGCCTCTGTTGGATGCTGCATCATTGCGAGAACTGCGTTGTCATACTCCTCGTACTTGTCGTACAGGAAGACCAGCTCAGCCCACAAATGAGCCGACTCTGCTGCGCGTAGTACCTACAAAACCCAGTGATGTTTTTAGTACATATTCACATTGTGTGTACGTGAAAATTAATGCTGCCTTACTTTTGGAATATTGACGCGCGACCAAAAGAGTTCCAGGTGTTCCCTCATCCTCTGTGGTTTGTACTTGCTGTACAGAATAGCGAGCTCAGTGAACATACCCATGTGTGCTCTCTCCAATCCAAGCGCAGCCTCAAGCAAGTTAATCAGTTCTTCAAAGTGTCCTCTATCTTGGTAGTAATTGATAAGATCCTCGAGCTCGTCAGCGTGAACGACAATGTGCAAGCCACACATCTGAGCGAGCCTAAATTCACCGCTGTCGACACAAGCGAAGCATACTTCCTTCCAAGTGCGCGTCGAGTTTGCCTTGCGCGCGCTATCAACCGCGCCTTGGAATTCTTTTAGGTGCACAAGGGTGATTGCAAGCCGGGCAAAGTTCGAGACATTGTTGTAGAGAAGCTTTGCCGCGTCGTACATCTTGTCGTCGAAGCACCGGTCGCCAATCTTTTGTATGTCGGCGTGGTTCGGCCCGGAAATGAATTCCTCGAGATCGGCTAGACGATTCGTACGGGCATACGCATAGATCAGCTCGGATTCTATAAAGGACTCGCGAGCCTTCTTGCGCGCCATTTGCAAATAACGCACCAGATCTTCCCAGTGAGACGTGCGATGAGCCGTTTCTACGACGTCAATGTAAGCAGACGGGTCGTCGGCCTTGATGAAGCTATCAATGGCTTCTTTAACCATACCTTGTTGCAGTTGTGCACGGGCTATTTTTTAAAGAAATTTTTTTTCGTTAATGTCAAATGAACCTTGTACTATTAAGTAATTTGTAACCCGTAAAAAATAGAAGCAGCAAACTTACCCAACTGAGACCATACTGGGGGCTCATTGCATCTTTCAGCAAACTCATAAGCTCTGTCGAGATTATTGACCTGCTCGATCAAAACTTGGATAGCCGAGGTGTTTACGTCAAACTTCTTGAAAATCGCAAATGCCTCTTCATACAGCTCGTTATTGATAGCTATATTAGCAATGTCGGGTGCATCGTAATTGTCCAGACGATTTATGTACTCCATGACGCGCGAGCGGTCGGCTTTGATGGCCGTCAAAATCAAGAGATTCTGTAAATTGCGATGATCGCTAAAGACGCTGCTGTCCAGCACAATTTTCTCGAGCAACTCGATCAATTCGTTGGGCAGATCAGCTGTCATAAAGGCCTTCACAGTTACAGAAATATCTTCGGGATCTTGAGTTTCAGAGAGCGCGGTTTGAACGACCTGGTCGATCAGTGGTCGTCTGTACGGGTTGTTTTCCTGCAGGACCTCAACCCAGAGATCTGCATCGCGTCTGCGTACCAAATATCTCGCCTCACTCTTGAACAAACTATTCTCATTGCAGACACTAATTAGTTCGCGATCACACTGGCCACGCTCATAAGCGATGCATGCGAGGTGGGGGTCGCGCTTCTCGCAGTACTTGCCGACGACGCGGCTATCGTAGAACTGGTTCTCCTTGAGGAAGCGTTCAGGGTTATTGTTGCTATCGATGTAGATCTTGGCCAAGGCGTTATGGGTGGCCGGCTCGACACAGCCTTCGTGCACACGCGACTCCAGCCAAGGCAGCAGGAGTTTGAGGCGATTGCGTTTCTCGACTTCCTCGACGAGCTCGTCCGTGGAAAATTGGCCACGCACGACGAGGATAAGGTTCTTGATGATGTCTTCGGAGCAGTCGACGTCGAGGAGACCTCCGATAACGACGGGCAAGCGAGAAGGGTTAACTTTTTGTACATATATTTCAATGTACTTTTGTAAATTATTGCGGTAAAGGTAGAGCACGAGGTCATGAACAAAATCAAAGCGGTCGCATACGATAATGAGTGGCAGTTGATCGGACAGTTTGGCTTCTTTCAAGAAATTCTTGACACGCTCCGGATTATAGCAATTACTCTCGCGACAGATGCGCTCCACTTCCTTGATCTGGCCGGTTTTGCAAGCAGCTTGAATGTACTTGAAGTGTACCTCCGTATCTTGGCTAAAGTTGACGATTGATCCAAGGAAATAGAACAGACCCTCGTAGGACTTGAAACTTTCGAAAAGGTCGATGAGAGCTTTAGTTGTCAGCTGTTCGTGATATTTTGTAGCTATTTGCACGCAGATCTGAAGATTTTGGCGCATATTTGCGGTAAGCATAGCTTTGAGGCACTCCAGGGAGTCTTCAACGGACAGCGTGCCGAAAAAACTGACGAGCCAGTCGGGAGACAGCAGATGAGTGTGCACTACGGCACGTTTAATGTCGTACAGGTCGGTATAATGTTCAAGAGCACGTTGCAAAAGTCCAGCTTTTTCGCAAAGCTGAGCTACGTGCGCGTGATCATAATGCGTAAACATTTGATTGCCGAGGATTGCATCAGCCACCTGGAAGTAATAAACATTTTTTCAATTCAGTGTTTCGGAATTCAAAAGAATCTTTCTAAATCCGGTATTTAAAAAATTTTTTTATTACCTGAGGCGCGGACATAAGGTTCATTTCGAGTAATCTCGTTTGGAGGGCACCTTCGGTCGGTCTGTTGTTCTTGAGGGCATCGAGTAAAAAAGCCGTGCATTGTTGCACCATATTTTGTTCCATAAATATATCCACAATCTGATTGATATCAGCAAGAGGCTCATCATCTTGGACCAGCATTTGGGCAAACAATACACCCTGATCTGGGTTGATGCGCATAACATTGCGCAACAAGAATATGTAATCCGGCGTGTAGGAAACCTTCTTTGCGTAAAGAACTATTTTTTGAAACTGGCCAGTCTCAGCAAAGCACTGTATAACTTTGTTAGGCACATTGGCTCTTAGATAGACGCTGAGTGCAAGAGTCGGGTCAACTTGTTTGACGAGATCACCGAGCTCCTCGCTACACTCGAGTTTGTCCTCCTTAAGCCATTTTTCTAACAACTGTTTACGGCCTTGAACAAGCACAGGGCGACAAAGCTCTAAAGATTCGTACTTATTCAACTGTCCTTGATCCAAGAGTATACCAAAGTATTGCAGGAGGGGTGATGTCTGACCCTGTGTTGTCGGTACCTGTTGAAATTTTTGAATCGTACCCGGTGTACGCAAAATACCTAAAATCACATAATTTTATTGTTATCTTGCGTTTCGCAACAAACAATAACGTTATTTGTACGACTGGATAACTAAGATTACCTTTAGGTGCATTAGCGGCAACCTTAGCTGCCTCGGCGTATTGTCCATTTTGGAACAACATGTTGAATTTGCGCACAAACAGGTCTTCGGCTCCGGAAAGATTGTTTCGCACAGCCATACGCAGCGCCAGCTCAGGATTCTGGAGCACCCCATTTATGTACGGAATTATATTTTCTTCGTCTACGGAAACAGATAACACTTGGCCTTTGCGATTTACACCGATAATACCGCCTGAGGACTCATGCGGGGCGGTGACAAAAATCGTTTCGTTAGATATACGATTCATAAAGATGCATGTTGCCGACTCGATGTCGTACATGTGAATGTAGCCGTACTTGGTAATAAGATAGATGACGTCGTACTTTGAGCTGACCTGCGTAAAACCGGCAAAAAGAAATATATTCATTAGCATCAAAATATCAAGTTCAAATCATGTAAAAGTCTGAGTAATTTTTTAATTCAACTATTATCTTTTCAGGTTTTTAAAGACGAATCATGCAACCATTAGTAATTGACCTAGTTTATACTTTTTCCGCGCAGTATTGAACTCAATTTTTAACGCGATTGACCAATCCTATTAGGAGGCGTATTAATATTTCATTGTACAGAACTTTTTTTTTTTTTTTTTTTTTTTTTTTTTTCAACAAAAATAATTATCAATTAATCAACAAAGTAAAGTTAAATATTCAATAACGTTTAAAGTAGATCGTTGTTAATAACTAAAAGCACCAATTTAGCTCGTCTTATCAAGAGTATAATTAGCAAATAAAACAGCTGATGCATATTGGATGGAAACAATAAGAAACGCAAATTGATAGCGGGAAAAAATCAGTTCAAGAGTGACCATTAAAATCTCGTTAGTACTTACAACGGAGAAAAACATAGTATTGATTAAGAAGAAGAAAAAAAAAAAAATAAAATAAAAACAAACAAAATATCATTGAACATTATTACTTACCTGCATTGCCACGGGGAAATCGTTTCCCGCCTCGGGAGGAAAGAAAACGTCAACCGCTTTTTTGGGAAAGGGTTGGTTCTTGGCAGGAGGTTGACCCACTTCAATAATGTGCAGCTTGGCCCCTTGGACGGTTCTTACGGCAAAGCAAAAAAGATTACTGGGTTCGGCATTGCCTTCCATCTTGAACTGAGCAAAAGAGGCGGCGTGTCCTTCTATGGGCTGGGAGCATTTACGCTCGGTGGAGAAGAGCTGCATCGCGCCGACCACGCGGTTGTTATGCGCCGATATACCGATTAGTAAAAGCCAGGTTTGCTTGGCATCGGTACGGTAATTAATGATCTGGCAGCCGTGCAGCGACGAGTGTCGCTCAAAGACTTTGCTTGGCTGAGAATCACCTTCCATTGACCAGTGATAAACTGTTGTGTCGGTAACAAGGGCTAAAGTATTCAGGGATATCCACTTCCAGAAAACCACGTCTTCTGTCATTGTGTGTGCCTTCATCTTTGATTTCATCTCAATGTTGAAGATTTGCAGAGTCTTTTGAGCTAGAAGAAATAATTGTAGATCTTTATTGTTGGTGGTATATGGACAAAAAATAAGAAAGATTCACGTTGCTTCTCAAGTATGAATTTTTTAATCGTTTTATAAGAGTTACAATGATTTAAAAAAAAACTATTTTACGTTTGTTAATTTCATATTAAAATTGAAAAGACAAAATGGAATGGAATAATTTTGCTTTTCAAATGTAATGCCTACCTTTCAGAGCAATAACTTTGCTGGCAGGATTCATAATTGCCGAATCTGCAGAGATTGGCCTCCTGATGGGGTTTGCAGTGTCATTCATGTCAATAATGACAACCTGCGCTGTGTCACCCACCTTTTCACGTACACAGATAAACTTATCTGACTCCATGGTGACTGTATTGAAGCTGACATTGTTGGCATTGATCCCCACTGTGGTGAGCTATTTTTGTCAGAGAAAGAAGAGAAAATAAATAATGAGAAACAAAGGCAACCTTAACTTTGAAGTCGAGGAAAACTTGAACTTGAAAAGAATAAAGTTGTTGAGACAACAAAAAAAAAAAAGAATTTGAAAAAAGCTATCTCAAAAGTAGCTCTTTTACATGGTATTCATTAAAGTTTATTTTTGGCCACATACATCACAAAGAAGAAACCTGACAATATGTAACTCACGTTTGAGTAAATAATTTATAGGTACTATTCAGATTGTTGAGTCACAACACATCAATAATTTAATTTAATCGATCTGTAAATGAGTTGTACTAGTAACATCAATATCATATATAGAAAAAAAAGAGTACATATCTTAAAATATCAAAGCTAGTTACTGAGTGAAGTGAAAAAAAAAAAAATTATATTAAGCCTGGCTAACAATTGCTGCCAAGCAAAAACTTGGGCCAACAACATTGCGAAATTTCAGGTAACCTAAGGAGGAGAGAGGCAAAGGAGGAGCACCAGCAGCCATTGGTCAAGTGACTGATTGTCTCTGCCATATGTATTTATTTCCCTGATGCATGTGATAGCTAGGGGCTTCAAAGGCAAGTTGTCAATGAGAAGGAGCTACTACAATTGACATTAATCATGACTATGAGGTCTCTAATCCTTTGGCCATTGACACTATCACTGCTATCATAATGGAAAAAAATCTGAATCATGCTGTACTCTTCAGCCCTTACTTTTTCTTTCTCTTAATCGTATTCCAGTCATTGGCAAAATAGCATTGTTAGTGAATAAAATAGAAAAATCAGGAAAAAAAAAAAATAAATAATAATAATAATAATAATAATAATAATGTCTTTATAATTTAATTGTTAATTTTTTTTGCTCATCTGCTTAGTAATTTTTATATTTTTGCATTCGCTTTATATCGTTCTCACGCTCGTTTATTCATTAGTTTTTATATTGTTTGTCTATTTGTTTCAACATGTGACGCAATAATAATTAATATTCATAATTTGTTATATATATTCAAGTAATCATGATACAACAATAACTAACGGAGCGAGTACACTAAAACATCAGATATCTCTCCTTCAAGAAAATAATACACTTTGTATCTCATAAATTTTACGCAAGTTATTTATTTTGAATAAAAATTTCATCAATATTATCTCACTTTTCAAGGGGAATGTTTAATTGATTTTCAACTAAAGTCTTGTGTAAATCGTGAAATAAAATCCACTCATTTTTAAATTCAAACTAGAAAGAAAGGGGAGGAAAGGACATTATTAGAAGTTCATTAAAAACTGGACATACAAAAACGCGATGGCTACAATATATTTTTAGAAAAAAAAAAATATATATAGAATAGAACTGGTTTCTATGTATAGTAGAAAGTACTGTAAACGATGTATGCAACCATTTTTTCCCCTGTTCTTGTCGATTACGATACGTAATATAAATAATTTAAAAAGTCAATAAGGCAGATGAAAAAAAAAGAACAATA